CCTGGCACACTGCAGCAGTGAGTGCCCGCAAAAACTCCACTGGGCTCGCCTGGGCTGGCAGAGCATCGCCCGCCTGCGAGGACAGGGACAGGGGACAGGCAGCTGCTGGGGGAGACTTGAAGGCTGCAGAGCAAACCTCCTTCCGGAGCACCCCGTGGTGTGGGGCTGGGGGTGCAGGCAGAGGGACCACCGTGTGTGGGGTGCTCGGCATCCCCGGGAGGGCTCTGCTCCCTGGGTGACGTGGGGGTGACAGGTTCTTCCTTTCTCCTTCTCCCCGGCATGGTCCCTGTCTGACGAGAGGAAGGGGTGCCGTGCTGGGGGTGGGGGAGATGCTGGTGCTTCGCATGCCTTTGTGTGGGGTGGGACACAGGCCTGACTGGTGGGAGGCTGAGCCCCCATTTGGGGCGCCCCTCCCCGCGACCCGGCAGAAGCATGCCAGGGAGTGTCAGGGCAGGGGGGCACGAGCCCTGCTTTCAGAGCTGGAGGGAGCAAGAAGGGATGGTCCGGGGGCAAGGTGGGGGGCACAAGTGGGGAGATGTGTGCAGGGGAGAAGAAGGGCTCTCCAGCGCTGGCTGGGGGGGCTGCTGGCCGTTTGTACGCATGTCTGACTCGCTGCTGGACGTCTCACGAGCGAGATCCAGGACGACGGGGACCTCCAGGATGCCCCACCTAAGGCATCCAAACCGTGGTCCGTTCACCCTCACATGCAAGGCTGCGGGAACGCAAGACCCTCTGCCCCTTTTCCTGGGTGGCCCAAGGGTTTCAGGGGTGCAAAGGAGGAGGCTGGGTGGGGAGGCTTCCCCCGCCCCCCCAGCCAGAGGAGCTGTGACACCCCAAGCAGTCATCACCGGGAATCTGTACCCCTAGATTGAGCATTAGGGATGGGGTGCCCAGGGGGTCTCATCCTGCTGCTTTCCAAAGCAGCCCCCCCCCGACTCAGCCTCATGGTGAGGAGCGCGGGGGAGCGGAGCCTGGCTCTTCACATCTGGGCTCTTCTTTCTGCTGAGCCAAAAAAGCCCTTTGGTTGGGAGAAAACGATCGCTGCCACAGCGGCCGGGCTGGGAGGCTGCACGTTCCTGAGCAATCGTGGGCCTTTTTTCGGAGTCGGGTTGTGAGGATAAATATTTACCTCTAAAGCTGCCTGTGTCCAAAGGTCTCTGGCAGGACCAGTAAAAGGAAACATGTATTAGAGCTGGAAAAGAGGCGACGCAGCCCGGCGCTGCTGGAGGAAGCCGCGGGAGCGCGAGGAAAACGGGCCATGGCGTTGTTTGCTGGCTGACTGTCGGAGCCTTGTGCATCTGCCTGCAAATCCGTGCTGTGCTCCGGCACCCTGGAGACTGCTGAGGATTAGATTTAAATTCTCTGCAGATGTTTTATTGATATGTGGATCTGCGAGGCAATTTCTTTTGGGTAGGGGAAAAAAAAAAACCAACACCTCAGCCTGCCCCTCCATCCAAACTCCAAACCTTGCACCTCCGTGGGGGTCTGCAGGGCTTTGCTCGGTTTGGCAGCACCGTGAGCGGGTTCCAGTAAAAAACACTGACCCAGCAGCCAGGGCTGAGCATGCTGCTGGGTTTGGGGCGTTCAAGCTGTCCCGTGCAGGCTGTGAATCGCGAGGAAGGGCTGCTGCTGCCCTGCCTCTTCCAGCAGAATGGCTTTGTGCGGTGCTCCGGGGTCTGCTGGCACTCCTGGCTCAGACACGGTGCAGGATGCTGCAGACACTGTCCTGGGGCTGCCGAGGGGGCACACAGCACCCTGCTTCTGCGAGGCCTTGGAAGCAAGGTGGCAAAAAACAGGAAGCTGGGGCCAGCTCATTGCCACGTGTCCCTGCTGGCACCTTGGTGAGTGGATTTACTGTTGGACTTCCCATCCTGGCATGAGCGAGTGCCCACCTCGCAAGGATGCTCTGTGCGGTCCAGCACCTGCGTCAGGGCAGGGCTGTGTCCCTTCCCTGCCTGCCAGCACCTCCGCTCCCCGCCTGGGAGGCCACCGGAGCCAGCAGAAAAGGGATCACCACTGGAGGAGAGGCTTTGGACCGCGCTTCGGGAAGAGACTTCATGGCATCAGCTGGAGAAGACCAAATTGGAGCTGAGACCTGGGCTTGCTTGGGGCGAGCGCCGGGCAGATCTGCTGCTGGGCTGGGCAAGGGCAGCGGAGGAGGAATGGCACATGGTGGAGCTGTGGGATGGCTCTGGATGCCTGGGAGGTGATTGCCCTGGGGCTGGCGGCCACAGCAGGAGCAGGTTGACCCAGCTGCTGCGCTGGGTGCCTCGGGCTGGGCTTTCCCGGCGTGTAAAGGTGCAGAACTGGCCCCTTTCTACTCAAAGCACCAAAGCATCGTCCATCTTATGGCCCAGAGCTGGTGTTTCTGCCCTGAGGAGCGTTTGGGGATGCCTGTTTCTCCTCCAGCAGTCCAGACTGCGTGTCAGGAGCGTGCCTCCATGCTCATGGATCCTGCCTGCCTTTCGTGTGGAATATAATCCTGAAAGGCCGAGGAGGGCCTTCCCAAGGGACATCTGCCACCCAAAATTGGATCTAACGTG